ATATCCTTACTCCTGATGATGTATTCACTGGAAAAAGAAAGTATATATGGACCTGACATCCGAGGGAAATACAATAGAACTGTGAAAAAGTTGAAAAAAGTCAGTAGATGCATGCATCTTGATCTTGATTTATCATTCAGGACTCGCATTTTGATTTTTTGTATTTTTAGTGCAAAGCAGTAGTATTTTCATATATTGTAGTTTTAGAATTTTAAGTGCTAAGCCTTTAACACTGTACGTACTCTCGTAGTCTGTAATCCAGACTACTGCTCGGTGGTTGAAGCTGCTGAATTTTTACGACGCTCACTGAACGATTGCTTATAAATATATTACTCTTTTTGTCAAGCAAGGACACATCGTATTTTCAAAATAAAATGATTCACTAAAACTAACATTGTAGTTTTTGAAGTCGAAGTCAAATTAGAAGAAAAAAAGATCCGTGCACGGAATCCATTTCGGACTAGAGGTTTCTCTCTGTAAGATCGTCGCGAAGTGAGGACAACGAGCTGCGAAGCCGCGAGCAACGAGAAACAGCTATTTCTTCGTCTGAAATACAACACGGATTCCATTCACCTCTAAATTCGAAACGATTACAAAAATCGTCCTTGTTTTACCAGTCGCTAACAACTCAAATTGGAGTTTAGAAGTTGATTAGTACGGAGGGAGGAAAACCTGAGAACCCAGAGAAACCCCTGCAAGAACAGAGCGAACAGTAAACTAGGTCAAGAATGTTGATTTTTGTGCAAGAAGCAATTCTTCTCCGTCTCGATTTCTGTTCACAAGTCGCACTTCCATCTCGATCCTGCACGAGATACAAGATAAAATCCATTAATCGAGTAAAGACAGCGAATGATTTAACGATCAAAATATTCAAACGTTATATTTGGAAGATTTGACTTGCCTCATAAACGTAGTCGCATAAATTTTCGCTTCCTCAATTCAAGACATACGAGTTGGATCGCGAGGACTAAAATAGAGTCTCATTGCTACGAGGTGGATTGAAAGTCTGTCACTAGATCATATCGCTTGATTCCAAGATGTTTAGTTTAGAAAGTTAACCCGAAAATCCATCATTTTAAGCTTGTTATTCGACTATCATAAACCAATACGTTTTTGTGTGAACGTTGATCATATTTGCATATCGTTTGTGCAGTGCTATGATGTCACAGAATTTTAACCAATAGCTGGATCAGATTCATCTAAGGCTCGTAATTTACTTATTACGCATGTTCTCAATAGCTGGATCGTTTTCCCCTAAAGATGTCAGTATTAATGATATTAGCCCAAATTTCAGCCGCCATTTTGTTTGGAATGCACAGTCTGTGGGTTTTCTGATCAACGTTCTCAGAATTTAGAGGCATTCGATGGAAGAGCTTCAAAGAGGATCAAAACTAGAGACGAAGGACTAGCACATGAGCATATCGACAAGTACATCGTCCTTTTATTTGGAGATAAATCACTCGTCAAAATGTGCCCGAAAGGGAAAAACCTCAAGACATGGTTATCTTTGTTCCTGTTGTATTTAAAATCTAACCAGTAAATTGAGAAAATCTTTCTTTAAGGTGAGAAATTATTCTTTGATGTTTTCATTTTGTTGAATTATAACTTTTAGTTGAAAGCTGATCGTCTAAAATAGGAGGTTGTTTGATAGCCAAATTCGCGTGTAAGCTAATTTTTACTCAAATTCAAAGTCAATTTACTCGAAAGTTTTACTATTCCCCAAGATGGAAATTACCTCTATTAGAATGGCCTTTCTTTTATCTTTACAGGTGTGCAATTTTTTT